TTGGTCAGATTTTTAACCGGTCGGTCAAGGGTCTCTGACCGACCGGTATCGGTTACGGTTATGACCGGTCATAACCGGTCATAACCGCAACCGTTGTCATCCCTAACTACGATATATGGATTATCATCATCCAAATAATCAACTCTAATTCCAAACACATTTCGATATGGTTTTGCAGCGTTCATCACAATAACAGAAGTAAATATCTTAACACCTCTAAATGTAGAAGTTTCGGAATTGGTCTAGTTATTCTGCTGCAGCTTCTTGGTAATTGAACGCGCAAGATGTCGTAATACAATAATCTCATTCCGATAACCTTTTTTATCTTTAAAATAAGTTCTTGTGGTAATAGGTTATATAATGACAATAACTCATTGCGTTCAATAATTTGCCAATTTTCACTTTCCAACCCATTAAGGTCATTATCTTGTCCATTCACGTATAGTTTTCCTCCAAGCTTAACTTCTTTAGACCTGTTTGTCATTATAATTTATTATAATAAAATAAAATATTATAAAAATTTAATTGAAAAAATTTATACTAACCAGAAAAATCCAAATTTTTTTCCTACTCTGGTTAGAGCTTCCTGTTGTTTTTGATTATCTTCGGAATGATTTAATGCATTTCTAACTGCATCGATATATTCATCAGTAGGCTCTAAATCTTCCTGAACAATTTAATAGAGCCTTTTTTTAGGATAAGCAATATTCTTCCAGAATCTGCATTATGCTGTTCAAACTTCTGATCAATAATAACATCCATCATATGCGGTTTCCTGATACGAAAAGCGCTTTCGTTTACTGACACGATATTATCATCTTCATCCTTTTTACATCCCTTATCTATATGAAGTCTTTCTACAATTTCGGGAAAACTTGGCATTCTTAAGTCCTTTTCCAGGTAAAAGGAATATGAACCATCTTGTGCATCTTCATTTGTCGGAATTAAAATATCTTTAAGTTCACACACAAATTCTCTAGCAAGAGGTATCTTATTTTCAAATGCATTTAGAAAATTAGTGCTTTGTCGACCAATTAACGCCAAACCTTTTTGATATATATATTCTCGAACTTCGTCCAATGACATTAACAAAACTTTACTGATATCTGAATCTACCAAATCAAACTGTCTAGAAGTTCCATCACTGTTGACAACAACTCCTGTTATTTTAAGTGGTGTAATGTCGTTAGCGAACTCAAGATACTCCATAATAATATGTACAGTACCTGATGAGGTTTTGTTTATGTATAGATATTTGAACACAGTGAATATTCCTTTTATACTACCGTCTCGCAAATAAGGAAATACACTGAAGATCGTTATTCAATTGACTTTTGCCGAATCAACTTCATAATAGCATGTCGTCTGATTGGCTGATGTAAATCAATTGCCCGGGTAACTTATTTATACACTTTAAAGTACTTTTTGGGAACACAAC